GGCTGATCTTCAAAGATCTTTCATACAATATTGGCATTGGTTGAGAGCTCTCCAGGCCGCTTTCGAATATGTTCAATAAAGGTGTCAAGCGAATGAATGGTGCTTAGTGCTAATACCATATTATTATCTTGCCATGCAAGACAGAGAACCTTCTCTTGTTCAATAGCATATAGAGTATTTCATGAAATAGCTGCTGTATAATCTCTAAGCTCTGTGAGAACTGCTGGAGCCTGATTTGAATGAGTAGTTCCACATGCACCATATCTCTTTTCACATAGGAATTTGAATAGTGCAACAGATGTAAAGTAATTATCTAGATAAACTGAGTAAGAAGTTACCTGCTGAGTGATAGAGGATTCAGTGACCAGCTCTATAAGTGACTCTGTAGACAGCTCTGTGGGTGGCTCTGTGGGCGGCTTCGTGGGCGGCTCTGTGGCCGGCATAGAGATAGTGGGAAGCTGTTGAAGGAGATTCACCACCATAGATCCCGTCTTTGTTAACCCTGGGAATTGAAACATAGGCATTATACTCTGCCGGCGGCTTGACCAGGGAAAAGACCATAAATAGCCGTGTTCTGCTAGGCCAAATATCTTATATCCCCGAGGAATTGGCTTGGAAGGCATTTTGTAGGTGTGTTGACTCCGTTCAAAACATTTAATCATTATCTCATCTATTGAAATCTTAGAGCCAGGGGTGTAGTATTTTCAGCATGCTGTATGGAATTCAGTAGCTAACGGCTCTACCTGATACCACCAGTCCTTATTTTGAGCCTCAGGCCGGCGGGCTTCACGGGGGTTTGATATATGAATATATCATTTAAGCTGTTGAAATCGCGTATGGCTCATATAGAATTGAATGGAATGAATAGGGCCCTGTTTCAGATCATTGCACCAGTATAGATCAGTCTGTTGAGATTTATGGACTCCCATATAGAGAAGAAGGCCTATAAAAACCTTTATCTCTACTGAATTGGTCTTTTTCCATTCTCGTGGCTGAATAATAGAAGTAGAAATAGAAGATGTTTCCATTATTATTTTCTCTGTTTCTATCTCCATCTCCACATCTGAGAGCTCCGGAGCTTCATTATCAGTATCTCCATCCTCTTTCTTTAGTTTTGCATAGAGATTTGTTGAATTGCTGATCTGTTGAAAGCATTCCTCACTGAAAAACAAGGTAAACAGGGCGTAAGGACTCTCAATATTAATATCTATAGAAAGGTTGAGAACGGGCCTTGTGAAGTAGGTTGCATAGGAAGGAATTTAACTGATTCTAGTGATGGAATCTCAGCAATGACCTTCTCAATAGGTCTCTTTCGTTTTTTAGGTGTTTTTGTATGAGCTGGAGAATCAATTAGTTATCTAGATCATAAGGATTGATTAATATAAGGAAATTACCTTTGGATTTGGCAGGTGTTTCAGC